AGATTTGGTAGACTATTCTAGATACTTTTCGTCAGCTGTCAGTTCAACTTCCTATTCCTGATACTTTGAACCACGAGTCGTGGTATCTGGTGGCATTACTAACATGACAACGTGTGTATTTAATACTGAAAGACAATGAAATAGAAAAAAAAAAATACACTCTCGTGTCTGCGGGATATTTGCATTTTAAAAGTTAAGAAGATCGTTATATACTTTTTTAAAAGCCGTAAACCATTTATATCATAAATGTGTATACTAAATAATATCAAGTAAAACAGAGAGTATATATATATATATACAGGAAGACAGTGAATCAGTCACAAAAGGTTCTCATCAAAAGTCTTTATTTTTCGTACAACGTTCATGACAGAAGTTATTTCACGTTCAACGTGATATTATGTCTTATTTCACCGTGCAAGCTTCTTCTTCTTCAGTTTGTATTATCCACCACTACATTGGTGCAACCCGAAGTAGGTAAATGTTCATGAGCACAAATGTATAGTCACATTAGGGGATAATCTTATCAATAAGTATTTACACATAGAAAAATTAATGATAATATTTGAAATCTGGGTCTAAGAAATTACGTACACCCTTGATATATCTGGGTTTATATAAAACAATGTTCTTCAACAATGGAGGGAGAAGCACAGTTTTCTTGAGCAGTCCTCTATTTTAGTGAGAATCTTTTTTCACTGCATGATAATATATTCTGTTTTACCAAAACACTTGGGTCCAAAATCAATTGTGTTAATAGACAATTATCACCGGCTAGCCTCTTCCATGAACACGTATTTGGATTACTTATGCTATTTATTATTGATTTTAATTCCTCTATATATGTTTTTCTATATTTGTATAGAGCGTTGCATTTCAAAATAAAATGTACAATGTCTTCATCTTCATATCAATTGACAAAGTTGACAGACAGCGCTGACTTCATGTTGATTGAATTTATTCTGTTGGACTGGAGTACATATGTGCCTGTGATTAGACGAGCTTTTAATTCACCACGGCGGACATCTTTAATATTACTTTCAATATATTGAGGACCAAAATTTGTGAATAGTTCCAATCTTCAAACTTTACAGATCGCAATATGACAGGGTGGATTTATTTTGACAGTCAAATAATAATTTTTGTGTCCAAAATTTGGCAATTGCTATTTTCACATTCTTTTTCCAAGACAACTTACACGGCGGTTTTTTTTAAATCAATTTTGCAATACTAGGAAGCTCATAGATCTATTGTACTAGAAGCTTATCTACATAGATAAACCAACTGTCTGAAATTTCTGATTTTGTTGACATCTGTCTATGAAGAATTTTAAAATTAAGTTTTCACTTCTATTAATACTGCCTAAAAGGTTCAATTGTCTAATATTGAGCTCGGTTGTGGCTTTTCAGACACCCGGAAGCAAATAAGTAATACCTTTAACTGATCTATTAGGTAGACACTGAATTTTTCGAAGAAAATCGAGGTAAAACTTTTCCAGAGCATCAAAGTGGTATTGCTTTAAGACAAATGTCTCTAAACCGTAGAGAAGTCTTGGAAGTACATATGTTATAAACAGTTTCATGCATGTGGTCAGTGGTAACCCATTCGTTCCATGAAAACCAGTACCAGTGAGACAATAAAGAGTTTTTCTAGCACATGAAATGCGGTCTTCTATGTTGACTGTCATCTCATTTTTTACTGATCTAATTATACCAAGATGGATGGTAGTTTTTGACACAGAGACTTCGTTGTCACCTAATTTCCAGTCCAAAGTTAAGATACTTGATCGTTTAGGTGGTATTTTCATAAGAATGGTACTCTTTTCTGGGTGAATAACATATTTTCTCCGGTTTGCTTATGAACTAGTTACATTCAACATCAATTGAAGATCAGATGCAGAGTTGGCTATAAGAGCAACATCATCAGCAACGGTTGGACATCCAACATAGGTTGTTCCAATATGTGTTCCTAGTCTATTACGTTCTAATGTTCTTATAATGTCATTTATGTGTATAAACCTGTAGACAAAATGCCACCTTGACGGACTCCTTGTTAGATAGGAAAATTTTCACTAAGACAATCACACCACTTTACCTTTGAAGTTAAGTTTGTTTACCAAGAGTCTATAACTTTCCATATTTTGCCACTAATTCCATTAAAAAATTAGTTTACATTTTAAAGACGGATGATCGACGACATCGAACGCTTTTTGAGAGTCTAGAAAAGCTATAAATAACGGAAGATTGAGTTCCTTTGCTTCTACGATAGATTCGTTGATCAGTAGAGCTGACAGTAATATTGAGGTATTTTCGGTGAAGCCAAATTGTAATGATGACTGATCTGAAGGTAACAGATGTTCAATTCTGTTAAGTATGGCATGTTCAAGTACTACTATGGTGCATGAAACAGTTATGCCTCTGTAATTTCCAAAATCGGCAGCATCTTTCCCTTTTTTGTGAACACGTGTTATGATTCCAGATAGAAATTGTAATGGTATGTGACAATGTTCAGTTATGGCATTAAATAGGACAGACAGTACACTGAAAATAGTAGGACTTGCAAGTTTAAGATGCTCAGCACAAATTCCAAATTCATCGCTTGATTTATGAGGGGGTGGAAAGGGGGATACCTTTCTCCTTTCTCCCGCCCCTCTGCTTCCATCTCCCACCTTAACAACCGTCTTTTTTCAGATCAATCGATTTTAATACAAATTTTAATTAATATATGACCATAAGTAGGTGGCATAGGTCTTTATTAAAGCATATACTGATTTTACGAACAAGGCCTGCCTCCGACTCGTACGCAAATTAATACACAATGTTGGAATGTTGTCAATGGTGCATTGTGCATGCCCCAATGTGAAGAAACTCATTTTTGATATGTATGGTCATGTTTGAGGATCATGAAATTAGACATAGTTTTTTATTGTGTCATCTCTAATTTTCCCTGTCCTCGAGAACACCTTACTTTGTATGGTCAAGTGGATAACGTATTAAATTTTTTAAAATGAGGATAAGCCTAGGTCTCATGACCATAACCGAAACACCTCCTTTAATATTTGAAACACAGACTAAATCTGGATTTCTATTCTAAAAATACACACACACACAACAATTATACTGCAAACATGCAAGTGCAAATTTCTTAACAAAATATGAAAATAAATGCTGAAAAAATATATTCCGTAACAAGAAGCAGTTATGATACACATTGTACATAAAAAATGGACTTAATTACGAAGGATTTTGATAAGTTATACTGGATTGGTCCTGGACCCGATTGATTTTAAAAAGGATGATTTCTAGAAATGATCGGAAATGGCAAAAATGGTTTGGGAAATATAAATGTTGCCTTTTTTTCAAAGATTTGTCCATTTATTAGAACATTTAGTATCCAGTTTTTTCGTTTTTTTTACCTCTTTTTTTTCAACATTAAAGTTCGTCTCCCTTTGATAGTTCTCCCTCCTTTCTCCCGCCCTTTCTCTCCTTTCTCCCGCCCCCTTTCTCCTTTCTCCCGCCCCTTTCTCCCTGTCTCCCAATACCATTTCCACCTACTCATTTTGTTATTGAGTTTCAGAAAAGCAGATTTAATTTACAGGGGTAATAGGTGAAAAGGCATCACCACTATTTGTCGAATAAGCTCTAAATGAAGTTTAGTGTTTTCCTGATAGTCAGAGTCAAATTGTTTAAGTAGTTTTTGGAACGGCAAGGTCTTCATCTAGAACCTTGCAAATCCTTTACTTTGTTTGTCAAGATCAATAATAAGTTGGCCTTCATTCATGAAGCCTTGTGGTTTTGAAATAGTATTTGATACTCCTCGTCTAATAAGTTTATAAAAGTTTGTAGATTTTCCAGATTCAAGTATTTTGACTGTAAAATTGTTTCCGTTCACATGCCATGTCATGTCGCTGTTGTGACCGGATGCGTCTTTTGATGGATCTGCGTTAATTGATTATTGTCATTATTTGATGATTCTCAGTTGGTCTGCCATATTGAATCCATTTTTTGTGGATTAAATTGCCTTGAGTAAGTAATTGTCTTAGTGCTGGACTAGCCTTCCATTTCGGTCCCTTTAGTAGAATTTTCCTAGATGGTATAGCTTTGCGAGCAGCAGCCAGAATGTTACCATTAAGTTGATCTATAAATGTCTTTATTTTATCAGGTCTTTCAATGGTGGGTTTCTGAGAATTAGACAGGGTGCTCTGATATAACTCTATGTCACAATTTTTCCACAGATTTCGCCTTCTTTCAGGGGGTTTATCCTTTTTTTGCAAGAGTCAAGCTTAAAGTTGTATTTAATTTACCTACGACTGGTGCATGACTAAAAGTATTTATAGGGTGTTGCTGACATATCTTAAGTTCCAGAAAATTGTCTTCTGCATGACTGAAAATGTAGTAAATCTGGGATGATCCTATTCAATGTTGAAACGTTGGTTTATAGATATAAGAATATGTGGTATGAGGGCCAATGAGACAACTCTCCATCCAAGTCAAAATTTATAAAAGTAAACCATTATAGGTCACAGTACGGTCTTCAACACGGAGCCTTGGCTCACACCGAACAGTAAGCTATAAAGGGCCCCAAAAAAATGTGTAAAACCATTCAAACGGGAAAACCAACGGTCTAATCTATATAAAAAACGAGAAACGAGAAACACTTCTCCTATGTTAGCATACGTGACTAGTTTGTATTTGTCTATAAGAGATCTAAAACGTCTATCTGAATCATTACGTCGAGAGAGTAACATACCAGAGGCGGATTTAGAGGGGGGCCGAGGCCCCCCCCCCCCCCCTTTTCTGGGAAAAATTTGGTTGATTATATAGGGAATCACTGAAGCATGACCGGAGCGGGCCCCCTCTTAGGCAGTCAGTGGGTCCCCACTTATGAAAATTTCTGGATCCGCATATGCCTACTGTCATTGTTGCAAGCACTTTACCACCCTCAATAAATATTAGTTCAAAACCGATTCCGGAAATTTCAAACACGAAACCGATTTCGAAATTCTCACATGACGACAACTTCCTGTAAAAAAAACCTGGTTGCTTCGTCAATAATATAGTTATTCACTATCATGGCATCATTAGTTGGAGAAGTTATGCATTTGAACATTGGACCGACGGAAAAGTGGCCTTCGGATGTAGCCTTTTTTCAGCCATATCAGGTCGAACAAGTTACTTTACCCGACTACTCTAATTGCCTAGCAGTGCGAACATTTCTGAACATGAGTGGCCTGAAGTTCGATCTTCAACTGAAAACAAATGCAGAGGAAATGTCCCCATCAGGAAGAGTTCCATTCTTGAAGATAGGGGCGTTTCTTATTTCCGAATTCGACCCTATTGTGGCAAATGTAAATATGAGAGGATTGTCTATAAGTGCGCATTTGGATGAGACCGAACGATCAGAAATGACAGCATATATTACTATGGTTCATACAGTACTTTACAATGCAGAGCTGTATTTGTCATGGATAGACAAAGATATATTTTCTTCAACCACAAGACCAAGATATGGATCTGTACATCCATGGCCTATGAGTTGGGTTTTACCTTGGAAACGACAAATGGAAGTGAAAGCAAGATTGAATGCATGTGGTTGGATTAATAAGACAGAGGAAAATGTTCATGATGAAATTAGGGCATGTCTTCAGGCTCTGTCTGATCGCTTGGATACAAACATTTATTTCTTTGGTGAAAAGCCCACAGAATTGGATGCTTTAGTGTTTGGACATTTGTATAATCTCATTACTTTTCAGTTGCCAGATTCAAGACTGACAGATATTATTAAGAAATACAAGAATTTAGCAGATTTATGTACTCGTATAGAGGGGAAATATTACAGAGACATTAAAGAAAATTAATATCAGTTTAATATACTTGTGCCATGTCTTTGTCAAATAAAAATGTATTATCTAAATCATTGATTTTTACAGTGTTAAAATTAAATATGAATGTTGATTGAGTATTTATGCATAAATAGATGTCTTACAGACTTACACATGTATGTATTTTATCCAACATAGTTTTAAAAAAATACAACATTTAAATATCTCTTCCTGAGAAATGTGTGAGTTGAATTAGCAAGTTTTCAATGTACTGTTGAAATTGTCTTAATACATGTTTGTTTGTCTATCAGGCACAAATATATTTTCTTTACAAGCACAAAAATAAAAGCAAAGACTGATTGGCTCCCTTAGTCAAAATAATGTTTCCAAGTCGGGTGACCATGGTGACATGTCCTGTAGACTGTTACCATGCATCCATGGGAACTAGCACGTTTAAAATGCTATATGGTTGTCAGTTTAGTACAAATCAGGGTTGATGAACATATTCTTGTCCTGCATGTGAATGTAATAATTGCCGCTGGACATGAATCAGTCGTCCATCCATGCATCAGAATATCATAATTTCAGTGTGGTCCATTTTTTTGAAATGATATAGGTACAGTTCATTATACTTCTTCTTGTTGAAAATTTGGTTTCTCAAATTTAATTTACCATGTTTACACTTTAGCTTGTACAAAAAAATGTACTCCCAAGCTTATCTGGACATGTTTGTGTTTACTAGCTGGAAGGTTGAGTGTGATTCGTGTCCCTCATATTTGTTTTTCGTATATTGTTTGTTATTGATTTGGCAGTTACTTTTCTCGTTTGTGGTTGTGAAGGATGTAATAATGCATGTAAGTATATTTTTTTTTGTGAGATGGTAAGATTGGTACATTTATTGGGGTGAAATGCCATAAGCCAATCTGATTTCCATTGTGCTGCATGGTCTTAATTGAAGTTGCAATTAATGGCAATCATCTTGTGTTCTTATTTCTCAGTAAATTATGCTGTCATCCGCAAAGAGTCTAAGCTTGCTGTGTTGTAAATATTCAGGCAGGTCATTTATATAGATAAGGGACAGTATTGGACCTTATACATGTTCCTTGGGGTACAGCAGAGGTACCAAGGTGGAAGAAATGCTAACAATGACAGCTGTTTGTGTTCTGTCATGTAGAAATGCCTGAATCAACTTTAGTATGTCATTTTGTTTGCCATAGAAGTTTAGCTGATAAAAGAGGCAATGATGTGAAACTTTATGGAACGCTGTAGTGAAGTCCATTATAATCAGTTGATGATTAAGTCAGTTTGAGTGTTACTATTGTTGTGGTATGCCAGTTCTTGAATACAAGAGTGCACACACTGAAATGCCTCACCTGCTTTAAAATATCATGGTTATCATGATTAACTTTCATACCATTCACCAAATAAATTTAGCCTATTGCTTATAGTATATATATATATATATATATATGAGAAACATACCTAATTAGCAAAATTGAACATTGAATAATGAACCTAACATACGCAGGGGCGGATCCAGGATTTTGGAAAAGTGGGGCGAAGTATTTATAAAAAAATTTTGGACCTTTTTTTGGCTAAAAAAACATAAAATAAGTGTAAAATTCACTTTTTGAACGGTTCCTGACGTGGGGCATATATATTTTAGAGTAAAAGTGTAAGGGTTGGACATTTTTGATGCCGTATTCTCCCCATTAATTGTCTATTATAAAATGATTGGATGGATCCAAAGCTATATGTACTAATATATTTGATGTGGGACTTGTCAGTAAAAAATGGACATGGAAAATTCTCGTTTGTTGTATGTTTAGTTGGCATATCCTCACAGATTTCTTGTTGTAAACAAGATATACGGCTATTCAATGAAATTCACAATACGACCGACACGAAGAAAGACAAACAAGCAATTTTCATCCAAATGTTTGGTTGAAATGTTTCACCCAACAAGCTAAGGGAAGTGAGGGGTTCCAAATCAACCAAAGGCTACGAATGAGTCGGAAATGACAATGAAGTTGTGAATGACGGTCGACACATGGAGACATATAGGCCACACACAGCAGGCTGGTTGCAGTCGGGCCTTGAAAAAAGTATTCAGTATATCAGTTCGGCGAAACAGACATTCCGGTCAGATATGGGATTTACATGCAAACCCCCGGCCCCAAAAAAATTACGCCCGTTTTTTATTCATCATGTTCATTTAATGCTAAATAATTCTGTTGAAAATATTTTTTCTAATAGCAAAAAAGTGGACAAGATTATTGTTTTCAATCCAGATACGGCCAGAATTTTTGTTTAAGGCAACCATCAGGGTCAGAATTTTTTCTCTAAAATACCTCAGACTGCCCCCTCAGATCAAATGGTCCATACCTTAGACTTTAAATCTATATCTAGAGCTTACTGACTTTGGATCACTATTTAGCAATGTTATTAATGGGCTGGGGCGTGTGGGGTTAAACATGTTTTCGTAGGTAAATAATATTGCTGTGGAACTTTTTTTTTTTATGAGAGTGTAAGAGAGTATTACTTTCTGTTGGGTGGAATAGTGAAATACTTTGTCGCTTTGAAGGCGTCATGCTTGTCATCCTCAGCCTAAGCAATGTGTTACTGTAATTTGAATTTCAAAATGACTGAGTGACGATTTTTTTCGACGAATTGGTCAACTCCACCGTAGAGAATCACATGACTTTGACATAATCAATAATATATTACAGTAAATACGAGCGAAAAATATCTTTATAAGTCAAGAATTGTCGCATAAAAATTAAATACACGAGAAATGACAAAGTTCACGAAGTCTAGTCTGATTAATCATTTTACAAAAAAAAAAAAAGTGCAAGCAAAAGGGGGGGGCGTACGCCCTCTACGCCCCCCTCCGGATCCGCCACTGATACGTGACCACCATGCAAGCACTCCATACACCAAATACAGTTGACATATTGCTTATTGTATCTGAGAAACGGATAACCCCCGAAAACTTAATATTGACTAATGAACCATGAAAATGAGGTCAAGATCAGATGAATCCTACCAGACAGACATGTACACCTTACAGTAACATTGATTACTGATTCATGGCAGATGGAAACTTCGTAGTATAAAGGCATCTAGGTCTTCTTCCTTCTAAAATATAAAGCTTTATACAAATAGTTAATACGCCGGATTGTAATCCCTATGTATCGCTTTCTGAGACTTTCGTCGCAGGTGAGACAAAAATCTATAATTTGTGTTTCACAAGACCTTGATTTTCTAAAACCATACTAAAGATCGTCTAATATATGATGTTTTTCTAGGTGAGATATTATACTTCTGGTAATGAAATGCTCCATGAGCGTACCTATGATGATCGATGAGTTCATTTACAACATATACATGTTAAATATATTGGCTTGTAATTTACGGGTTTAAATTTCCCCCTTTCTTTAAAGCTGAGGCTACATTTGCAGGTTTCCAATCGATTAAGAGTCTTTTAAAATATTAATGCCAGGATCGGTGAAACTTGTTCCTTTGGTTTGTTAAAGACTTGGTCACAAGCTTTATGTCGATAAAGGTGTGACAATAATTTGGTAATACCTGCTTCATTGGTTGTTATGTTTGGCATTTGAGGGTGGCCCGGGGGCTTCTACAATAATATTTATCTGGAATATTATTATTTGTTTCATTAGTAAATACAGATTGAAACCGTTGATTTAAAATGTTTGCCTTTTCCTCTTGTCTGTGTATTTTTCTTGTATTGCAGTTAATATCAATCTAGTTAAAATATATATCTCTGATTTCGTTATACTACGTTATATTACATATGTAGTATAAAGTAGTATAACGAAATCATAGATCTATATTTTAATTAAATTGAGTTAATATTTCAGTACGATCAGATTGTATGTTTCCCAAATGGGCTTTATTGATCTTTATCAAATTTTATACTTTTACGAGATTGTTCCCTTACCCTTTTTAACCATGTGTTAATTTCAATTGAGGGTAAATTTGTCATTTTATTTACACTACATGGATTATTAGTGAAGAACAAATCTAAGAAATATTTCAGGATCTCCATAATTCGAATTCAGGCCATACATTATTAGTAATCATTGAAGACCTCCTGAAACATTTCGGGACCTCCAAAATTCGATTTCATGATACCCTTAAATATTTATGGAGGTCTACAATTTCTAATTAATCGATTTCAGGATACCCTTAATTCGAATTGTGGAGGTCCTGAAATAATCATAACTAAATCTTCGCCTGATACTTTTGTCATATCTTATCGTTTTTGTTATATATTGAGAATTGACGGATCTTTGGTCGTTTTTGTAGAATTTATTCATCCTTTTTAATAATCTGGACGAATTAGAGCTTGGTATATTGTAGATATATTTCTATTGTTGAAGGCTGTGTCTTTTGGTTATTTGGTTGTTGGGTGGCAGTCTCATTGGTGCATGCCCCACATCTCATTTCATTCATGTAAAATAGAACCCCATAGAAAACATAACAAAAATGGTGTCTAGAAAATCTAACACTAAATTTAGTATCTGTCCGATCTACTGCGACTAAACAAGTAGCACTGTGTGCACATGTTTTGTTTTGTATATAAAATCAACACTACATGGAAGTTTTTTTCAACCCGTGTCCATTGCAATAAAAGTAAAAAGCGCTCTCTCTGGAGAGGCTTCGGTCTCAAAATCAACATTGTAAATCAATCTTTCTTTAAAGAGGGTGATAAAGGGTTATTTTCGTGCAACGTGTTTTGCCATTTTTATTTCACGTGCAGCCGTGAAAAAGGTTCGTTATTCACCGTGTTTCGTGAAATCGGTAAAAAGATCACCGTGCAAGAAATTTTTATTTGTTCGTTCATCGTGAAATGGCAATTTTATTTCGCGTTCTTCCGTGCAGATACCCCCACCCCCTTTATGACCCTCTTTGAAATGAGGTATACCTTTCTTACTCAGTTCGGATCTGAGAGTAATCTCAGTTCGGATGCACCACAAAACAGTTTTTATGGAAAGAGCCAATGGTTTTGCTCATTTTGAAAAAAAGTTTGACAATACAAAAAACAAGGAGACTGGTATGATTGACAATGAGAC